GCGTAATATAATATTGCATAAATAAGTTAAGAATTCCGGTTCTTTAACAAACAAAGACCTATAAATAAAAAACTACGCGGTAGAATTTTTTTAAACTTGGCCATATTGTAGATATTTTTATTGTCTATAACATATCCAAAATCTGGAGAGTGCACAAAAAAATAAGTTGTAGAAAATCATCGGCAAAGTCGGATGACACGAATATGCGTAATATAATATTTAATAATTAACTTCCTATGCCCAGGTAACTTTGCAAACAAAGGCCTATAAATAAAAAACTACACGGTAGAATTTTTTTAAACTTGGCCGTAATGTAGATATTCTTATTGTTTATAACATATCCAAAATCTGGAGGTGGCACAAAAAAATAAATGATAGAAAATCATCGACAAAGTCGGATGACACGAATGCGCGTAATATAATCTTATATATTTAAGTTAAGAATTCCGGTTCTTTAACAAACAAAGCCTTATAAATAAAAAACTACACGGTAGAAATTTTTTAAACTTGGCCATATTGTAGATATTCTTATTGTTTATAACATATCCAAAATCTGGAGGTGGCACAAAAAAATAAGTTGTAGAAAATCATCGACAAAGTCGGATGACACGAATGCATGTAATATGATCTTATCTAATTACGACTTTGTCGTAATTACGACTGTGTCATCCGAATTTGTCGATGATTTTCTATCATTATTTTTGTTACCTCTAATTTGAATATACAATTCAATATAATTATCTATATTTTGGCCAGTTTATTATAAAACTTTATTTAAATTCGGGAATTCTAAACTTTTATAATTATGTAAGATCATATTACATGCATTTATTGTAATCCGACTTTGATAATTTTATCATTATTTTATTAACCACCCTCGAACAGATGTAATCATGAACAATAAGAATATCTACAATATATTAATTTAAAAAAATTCTACCATCTGATTTTATTATATAGATCTTTGTTTGTTAAGAACCGGAATTCTTAACTTGTTTATGCAATATTATGTACGCGCGTTTGATCATCCAGCTTTTATAAATGTTTTCTATCATTTAGATTTTTGTGCTTTTAAATTTTGAATATATTTCGAACAATATAAAATTCTATAATATGCTTGGATTTAAAAATTCTGCCGTATAACTCAATTTTAGCTATCGACTGTTTGTCGGATGTGGTGCCAACTTCGGTTTTATTCTAAGGAATACTATTCCTTTTATATTTTTTATTGCACTCTCCAGATTTTGTGATATGTTATGAACAATGAAATATCTGTGTATTGGTTTAAAATTCTACCTTTTAGTTTTGTTTACAGGCCTTTGTTTGCAGGATACCTTGATGTAGGAGTTAATATATAATGTTATATTACGCGTATTCGTGTCATCGACTTTGCTGATGATTTTCTATTTTTTGTGCACTCTCAGATTTTGAATCATAGGAATAAAATATCAATATGGTAAGTTTAAAAATTCTACGTGTATTTTTATTATAAACCTTGTTACTGAATACCTGGACATAGGAAGTTAATTATTAAATATTATATTACGCGTATTCGTGTCATCCGACTTTGCCAAATGATTTTCTAACTTATTTTTGTGCCACCTCCGAATTTGGATATATTCAAATAATATAATTATCTATATTCTGGCCAAGTTAAAAATTTCTACCGTCGTTTTATTATCAAACCTTTCTTTGAAAAATTACATGGATAAAGAGTTAATTATATAGATTATATTACGCGCATTCGTGTCATCCGACTTTGTCGATGATTTTCTATCATTTATTTTTTTGTGCCACCTCAGATTTTGGATATATTTTAGACAATATAATTATCTATATTCTGGCCAAGTTTAAAAAATTCTACCGTGTAGTTTTTATTTATAGGCCAACTTTGTTTGTTTAGAACCGGAATCCTAAAGCATGGTATATAAGATCATATTACATATTCGTGTCATCCGACTTTGTCGATGATTTTCTATCATTTATATTTTGGTACTTGAATTTTGGATATGTCGCGAAGAATAAAAATATCTACAATATGGCCAAGTTTAAAAATTCACCGATGTGGTTTTGTATAGAGCTGTTTGTCGAATGTGGTGCCAACTACGGTTAATACCGGTACATTCTGGGTGGGGTGAACAGCCAAGTTTAAAAAAATTCTACCGTGTAGTTTTTCTATTTATAAGCCTTTGTTTGTTAAGAACCGGAATTCTTGCTTAAATATATGAATTATATTACGCGCATTCTTGTCATCCGACTTGTCGATGATTTTTCTACTTTTTATTACCACCTCCAGATTTTGGATATGTTATAAACAATAGAATATCTACATTACGACCAAGTTTAAAAAAATTCTACCGTGTAGTTTTTAGCTATAGAGCTGTTTGTCGAATGTGGTGCCAACTTCACGGTTAATGCAAATTACATTCTCTCAAGGAATATTATTCCTTTTATTTTTTTGTGCCACCTCAAGATTTTGGATAATAATCTCATAGACAATAAGAATATCTACAATATGGCCAAGTTTAAAAAATTCTACCGTGTAATAGTTTTCTATTTATAAGCCTTTGTTTTGTTAAGAACCGGAATTCTTAACTTAAATATATAAGATTATATTACGCGCATTCGTGTCATCCGACTTTGTCGATGATTTTCTATCATTTATTTTTTTGTGCCACCTCCAGATTTTGGATATGTTATAAACAATAAGAATATCTACATTACGGCCAAGTTTAAAAATTCTACCGTGTAGTTTTTAGCTATAAGAGCTGTTTGTCGAATGTGGTGCCAACTTCACGGTTTATACCCAAGTACATTCTCAAGGAATATTATTTCTTTTATTTTTTTGTGCCACCTCCAGATTTTGGATATATTATAGACAATAGATATCTACAATATGGCCAAGTTTAAAAATTTCTACCTTGTAGTTTTTGTTTATATTTTTGTTTGTTAAGAACCGGAATTAACAAATATATAAGATTATATTAAGCGCATTCGTGTCATCCGACTTTTACGATGATTTCTATCATTTCTTTTTTGTACCTCAGATTTGGATATGTTTTGAACAATGAGGAATATCTACAATATGGCCAAGTTTAAAAATTTCTACCGATGTAGTTTTTATTTATAAAGGCTTTGTTTGTTAAGAACGGAATTCTTAACTTAAATATATAAGATTATATTACGCGCATTCGTCATCCGACTTTGGCGATGATTTTCTATCATTTATTTTTGTACCACCTCCAGATTTTGGATATTTTAGACAATATAATTATCTATATTCTGGCCAAGTTTAAAATTACCGTGTAGTTTTTATTTATAGGCCTTTGTTTGAAAATTACATGGATATAGGAAGTTAATTATATAAGATTATATTACGCGCATTCGTGTCATCCGACTTTGTCGATGATTTTCTATCATTTATTTTTTAATCCTTACCTCAGATTTTGGATATGTTGTTATAAACAATAAGAATATCTACATTACAGCCAAGTTTAAAAATTCTACGAAGTAGTTTTAGCTATAGGACTGTTGTTTGTCGAATGTGGTGCCAACTACGGTTTAATACCAGGTACATTCTCAGGAATATTATTTCTTTTATTTTTTAGTACCCACCTCAGATTTTGGATGTGGAACCAATAGAATATCTACAATGGCCAAGTTTAAAAATTTCTACCGTGTAGTTTTATTTATATGGCTTTGTTTGTTAAAGAACCGGAATTCTTAACTTAAGTATGCAAGATTATATTACGCGCATTCGTGTCATCGACTTTATCGATGATTTTCTATGTTGCTTTTTTGTGCCACCTCAGATTTGGATATGTTTTTAGACAATGAGAATATCTACAATATGGCCAAGTTTTAAAAATTTCTACCTGTAGTTTTCTATTTATAAGGCTTTGTTTGTTAAAGAACTGGAATTTTAACTTAAATATATAAGATTATATTACGCGCATTCGTGTCATCCGATTTTGTCGATGATTTTCTATCATTTATTTTTTGTGCCCTCCAGATTTTGGATATATTTTGGACAATAAGATCTATATTCTGCAAGTTTGAAAAATTCTACCCTGTAGTTTTTATTTATAGGCTCTTGTTTGAAAAATTACATGGATATAGGAAGTTAATTATATAAGATTATATTACGCGCATTCGTGTCATCCGACTTTGTCGATGATTTTCTATCATTTATTTTTTGTGCCACCTCCAGATTTTGGATATATTTTAGACAATATAATTATCTATATTCTGGCCAAGTTTAAAAAAATTCTACCGTGTAGTTTTTTATTTATAGGCCTTTGTTTGTTTTAGAACCGGAATTCTAAACGTAATTATATAAGATCATATTACATGCATTCGTGTCATCCGACTTTGTCGATGATTTTCTATCATTTATTTTTGTGCCACCTCCAGATTTTGATATGTCATAGACAATAAGAATATCACAATATGGCTAAGTTTAAAAAATTCTACGTGTAGTTTTCTATTTATAAGGCTTTGTTTGTTGAAAGGAATTCTTAACTTAAATATATAAGATTATATTACGCGCATTCGTGTCATCCGACTTTGTCGATGATTTTCTATCATTTATTTTTTTGTGCCACCTCCAGATTTTGGATATATTTTAGACAATATAATTATCTATATTCTGGCCAAGTTTAAAAAATTCTACCGTGTAGTTTTTAAATTATAGGCTATTTAAGAGAAATGAAAGTACACTGTAATATAAATCTTAGTGTTTTCTTCAATTTCTTGACTTTTATACATTTTTGTGATGTTTAAGGACTGTAAAATAGTAATAAACAGTTAAGAATTTATTTTTACTTTTGTATTTGATGGAAAACGTGTTTTAAAGACGATTTTTTGATTTATCATTTTGAATGATAAATTTTAGTTGAATGTGGTGATGAATGTTGTGATGAATGTTGTGTTGAATGTGGTGCCCAATGTGGTGCCAATTTCACGGTAGTATATATGTATCGCATCCATTTTCTGGCATATACAACCACAGATATGTGTATCGCATCCATTTTCTGGCATATACAGATAAGGACTTGTAGTACGTATTCCATGTATGGGTATATATTGCACAATCCATAAGAGCAAATACACGACGGAAAGCGCAAATACATGACGATAAAGAGCAAATACACGACGTTAGCAACAACAAAAAGTCAAAATGGCTGCTCGAGGGAGTCATTCGATTTCTGAGCGACATCCATCTGTGTACTGTGATAATGAAACTTGTAGTCCTCTGATTGTACGTTGTGGTCGAAATGACTGTGGCGCTGAAAAATGCAATGGAGAGATGTATCATTGTCCTTTGTGTCCTCCTGAAAAATTTTCAAAAGAAATTCCATCAAGAGTAAAAGAACACTTTAAAAGCGTCCACTGGGAAAACAGGATTCATGAATTTGAAGGTAAAATGTGCTTATTTCTGCGTAGGTTTAATACATAACCCACGTCAATGAGCGAAACGCACAAAGAACTTTGGATTAAATCACAAGTATTGATTAAATCATGAAGAATTTAGGTAATTTTAATAAATAATTTGAGAAATTGGGTTTAAACTTATAAAATATTTAGTTTTCTAAACTGCATCATCACAGCTGAAGATACGTACTCTCAATTATAAATGAAACCACATGCTTTTAACAGAAACTAACTTTGTGCTGTGCTATTTCCCTAAAATAGAAAAGCATTATTAACCTATCTTATATTTATTGAATATCATTTGATTGTATGCTCATCTAGTTAATATTGTATTCGTCTCACTATATATCCATAATATCCTATCATTTCCATATTCTTTCTTTACTATTTCTTGTTTTTTTTATGTAAGGTTTTGACATTCTGAGGTGTAAGCTGTCATGTACTTTTGCATCCAAACGACATGGCTCAGATGTCAAGCATTTCAAAGATGTTTCGCACTATCACTGTTTTGGATGTAATTCTGGATTCAAGCATCGCAATGAAGCAATTCGACATATAAGAAGTGCACATGATTTACAGCTTTCTGTTGTAGAGTTTGGTTCAGGGAAACAACAACAATGCTCTCAAAGTCAACTTTCTCTACATAAAGTAACCATTTGAGCAGCAAATGCATCAAACTCAGTTCCCTCAAGTTCAGCAGCATCAGCTGGAGCACCAAGTGACCACTCAGCATCTCACACAGCTGCAAACGCAGCAACAACAAGAGCAATTTCTACATATGCGGCTATCTGAGGAAACACACCAACAAAGCAGCACAAACATAGAAATGTCTGAGGTTCAACAATATCAGGAGTTTTCTTACATGCCTGCTCAGTCTCGTTCAATGCGACAACAACCGCCCAGAGTTAAATGTCCTTTCCCAGACTGTAAACGAGAATTTCATCCAAATTCCCTTTCAAGCTACATAAAGACCAAACATGCTGCTGATAAAAGAAAGAAAATATCTTCAATGAGGTACTTGAATGGAATATGTGTTGACTCGACAAATGGGGTTTATCTTGTGAGGAAACAACTTAGTGGAACAGATCATCCCATTCATTGTCAATTTAAAACCACAAACTCTCCTTCTATTGCATGTAGTGTTGATACATGTCGTCAACTTAGCGAAACTGCTTCAAGAAGTGGTCAAGCAAATTTTCTTTGTGATCATGTGCAGTCTACATATTTTATTGGGACGTCAACTGTTGTTGATCATTTAAGAGAAGATTCTCTTGATTATATAGTGAACACTTTGAAATGGTTGAAATTTGAACGGAGGTCTGAATGTCTGCAGTGGCAGAAACAAGCTAATGACAAGAATACCCCACTTGTTGTTCAGATGCCTGTCACACCTGATTCCTCCAATCGTTTCTTTCATTTTTCTGTGTTTGCAAATGTTAAACGGGATCATTACTGGTCATTTTGCAAACGAGTAATTGTATCATATGACAATGAAACTTCATCATTTCATTGCAAATGCTGCCCATCTCGTCGTTCCTGCATGCATAAATGCATTGTTAAGTGGGCAATTGGACAGTGGCATCCCTCTGTTGTTGGCACCACCCACCAATTGATGATGAAATTGGTGAAGATTTAAGTTTACCAGAACCAGAAGATAATGCTGTTGAAGACGTTCTACTTGAAAATCAAAATCAAATTTCCCTATCTGGCAGCTTTTTATCCTCCTTCTGGAGATGTGGCTGCAAAGTTTGTTGAATACCTGTTTGCTGAAAAGAAAATCCCTTCACACCTTCCTTTGACATTAACTGTGGAAAAGGAACAATTTGCTAAAAGGTAACTGTTTATTTAAATCGAACAAAGCAACCTTTTATTATTGCATTGTCTTCACTCCAACGAAAATATTCTCCAACGGTTTAGTTCCTTATTGAAAATGACATTCTTTCCATTAACTAAAACAGCAAAAAGATTTATTGTTTGTATTGACATTGTCTTGTCTCCTAGTTACCTTCCTGTAGAAACCATCTGTTTTATTGTAAATCACCACTAACTGAGCCACACTGTGTAACAAGAAATGCAAAGTTGGTAACTATGAAAGGGATTATTGAAGGTTTGTCATTAATATGAAACAGCGTGTATATATCATCGATTTAAATCTCGAACTTTAGATAAGACATTGAGTTGAAGATAAACCCAAAATGTACAGTTACACATTTTATGGATTGTTTTGTATAGTTACCAGAGTGCTCAAACCTATAACGGTGAGCTTTGCATAGGGCGAAAGCGTTGAACGTGTCATATGGACTCTCTACGTAGTCTGTGGAAAATGCTCAAACTATGCATGAGCAGAAAGCGTATTATACAATGTATACATATATGTGTGTGTATCTTTTCTTTGTTCTTCCAGGAATTTCGCTGTTTGCAAAGTTTTGTGTCGAGTGCAAGATACCGTACAGATACCAGGAGTATTCAGCTGGTGTTCACAATTTTAATGACAACTGGCTTTTAAGTTTGGGAATATGTGATATGATCAGAAAACATCTTCAGGTATGTTATTTTTAAAGCATTTAAGAACCACTTGTCACTATTCCTTCCTCTCTTTTCTCTTGATGTAAATTTTTTAACTGGGTGATGGCCTTAACCAAACTGTGCATCATCCATATTGTACCACCCACTCCCAATTTTTGCATGTTGATAGTTAAGAAAAACAAGGAAGGGATATTAATAACCAGGTATGCATGCTATAAATGAGCATGTATTGTATGAAAAATATAGGTTCACAACGCTGTCAGTCGCACTGTTGAGGCAATTGAAAACTGGCTGCAGTTGCGACCATTTCAGTTACCACGTGGTCAAATGATGAACGCGTATCTTCACTTTGAAGCTCTCTCAGATCATGACTATGGGTTTTCTTGTGTTTTGTGTGGACACTTTCCTCCCTGTTAACTCTAGATGTAGACAAGAAAGGAATCTTTGAACTAGCGGGTAAATTTGACTGATAATTTGGCAAACTTTTTTTATGAGTGGTTTTTGTTACATACTTTTACATTGTCATTTTTTAGGTTTGTTGACTTGAATTTTGATTTTGTTAACTTGTATTCATTTGCATTGTAGTTAGTGAACTTCAGTTGCCAGACCCCGAATCCGATGCTCCTGCAGATGAAGTGGACGCTGAAAAGTACTGGCAACAAGTGAACTGTGGGATCTTATACAGAGGATCTTATACGTACGTGCTACAATGTTTATGTACTCACTGCACGTGAAAGTTTAACGTTTTTTCTTACATAATTTATTTTTTGGTTTATTTTTGTTTACAAATCCGGTTTATTTTTGTTTACAAATCCTTATGATTGATTTGTTTGATGTGCACGTAGCGTATACACCATCTGGTGTGTTTGAATTATGATAATGCTTGTAGTTTTTCAATTGTTTGTAGGTACTGAAAAAACCCTTTAGAAATCAAGCCTTCATATAAGTTTTGGGCCCCATATATTGGCCCAAAATGCAGAAGAGGAAGGAAACTTTTTTAATACCGAATACATGAAAGCGTATCATAAACAAAACCTAACATCAGCTGGGGCTACATCTGATGAATGTTCAATTGAAAAGCTCATGGATTTGTTCTGTGAAGGAAAAGTGCGTATTGCTATTAATTATTAGGCTGTGTAGAAACTTTTGGGATGAGTTGGTTTACATAAAAGTCATTCTCTGTGTACTTTTAGGTACCTGTTATAAGAGAAATGGCCAGAAGTTTAAATGTGAGCGACAAGGGGTCGAAACTTGATATAATTAACCGTATAAAATCTGTTTTGAATATCGAAGAAACGTTTCTTAAACTTTTCTCAAAGATGTGGGTGGTTCAGGTAAGGTTAACTTGAAATTGTTTCACAAAGACGACGATTTTCGTAAAGCATTATGTATTGTGCTTCTTACCTTTATTCCTACCTACATACGTTTTATACATTAATCTTTTGTGGATATTGGTGTGTTAGCTTACAAAAATTCATCAAATGGTTTCCTTTTCGGGCAAAAGGTTCAGGTTCAATTCCTGTCTGATGACGTATGTGAGTTAGATATAACAAAAACATCATAGTTTTGTACTTTTATGTGTTAAATTTGTTGATATATTGAGTGCACATTGTGTGAGAAGACAGCAAACTTAGCAAATTCATTATTATAATTTCAAATGGATAAATAATTTTTATTTTGGCACAGGCGGTTGGTTGGGAATGACGTGTCCACATGGAGTATGCTATGGTCTGAAATGGCTATTGCGACAAGAAGGACCACGAGATCATGTGGACATGCTTATGAATCTCGCTGCTGTTCCGAATGTTACCATATTGGATATGGCAAACATGATTGTAGCTCATGCAAGGAACAGAGGATACGACGTTTTTCATCCATTCCAAGGTCGTGTTGCTGAATATAGCCTGGAAAATATCAGACGAGCTAATAGTGGTGAGCTAGAGATAGACTGGCCTTGGTTTCCAAACGGAGAAAGATGCGACTTGTCAACTGTCGTACAAAGGTCGGATGGTGAGCAGCTTCTGTGTAATCCCTCAACTAGATCTTCTGATCATTACTGCCTGTTTGATCAATTTCACGAGAAAAATTCCACGAACCCAGCCGATTGCTTGCGAAGAGTGTCTTGCGTTAACCAACTTGCCGGGAAGATCAATTCAGAAACTGCTGAACAACTCAACAACAGACGAAACCGTGATAATTACTTCACAACATCTTTGACAGCTCACAATTCCGTCTTCATGGAGCGATTGGCAACTCATTTTAGTAATGAGAAATTAAACCAACGTATCATAAATACTCATCGCAAGCAGGTAAGTGAGTGTTTTATTCTTTATTTTTAATGGAGTCTAAGTGATGTTGCCTTTTCCAGTTGCCGGAATAATCTTTTAAAATGTATGAAATCTTCTGTCTCTTCACAGTTTGGAATGGCTATGAGTTTTAACTCCTTCGGTCAACTTATAAGTAGAAATGAAGATGATGGGACCGAGCAGGCATCACAACCAAAACGCGTCCGTTTGTCGACTGAAAGTCTTTCAACAGCTAACAGACCTGCCACAAGTAGCACTGGAACACTAAATGATGCTTGTGATGAGTTGACACACGTTGCTGAGAAAATGAATCCCTCAGCTACAAGCAGCTACGACCTTGTTATAGACTAGTTGTGACCTCGTCAGTCGTCATCAAAGCTTAAGTGATATTTGACATAAAGGAAGCTCAATTTCTGTTTGGTTGTTCACAGCTTGGCAAAGAACATTGTAACAAGTCGAATTCCAAAGTCGAATTCCATTACCATCTGTAGATCTAATTTCAATATATATACTTATTCATATAGAACTGATGTCCAATGCCTGAACACTAAATTCAAATTTCTTTCAAGCATTTCATCAAATTTTCTCAAATTCTTATATAATTCATAAAACTTCTAATCATACCTAATGTGAAAATTTTATGTAAAATAAAGACGTCCTTCGATGTGAACTGATATCCTTATACTATATTATATACTATATATAGTATATATACATACGTATAGATAGCCAATGCCTAAATAGAATCTTAAGTTCTTTGAAGCATTTCATCAAATTTTCTCAAATTCTTATATAATTCATAAAACTTCTAATCATACCTAATGTGAAAATTTTATGTAAAATAAAGACGTCCTTCGATGTGAACTGATATCCTTATACTATATTATATACTATATATAGTATACATACGTATAGATAGCCAATGCCTAAATAGAATCTTAAGTTCTTTGAAGCATTTCATCAAATTTTCTCAAATTCTTATATAATTCATAAATTTTCTAATTATGCCTAATGTGAAAATTTTATGTAAAATAAAGACGTCCTTCGATGTGAACTGATATCTTTATACTATACGTTATACTATATATATAGTGTATACCTTTTAAAATGAGCACTACAGGAATCGAACCCATATACTAGAAACAGCTAGCAAACCATTATGCTCGTTTAAAGGACAACAACAAACTTTTTCTGTTTTTCCATCAAATTTTATCACGTTATTGATTGTTCTTAGTCTCCTTGATTGATCACAAACGCAAACTACTGCAAAATACAAATAGCTGATATTAATGTTCGAGGCATATAAGAATATTATCCCAATTTTAACGCAACCTGGGCACATTCACTTCTTCATTCAGGCCATGCAGTAAAACTTATTTTAAATGACAACTTTTCCCAGAACTGTTTCACCCCCCGAATGATAGGTCCCAAAGAAATTATGGATTTATCCACACTTGTTTTGAAAGGGATACGTTGCTCTAGTTTGGGTGAGATGTCAGTGAGCACTTGTTGCTGTAGAATCTCAAGTTTTTCTGTTGAATTCTGTTACCTTTTCATGGTGATTGGGAGAATACTGGAAGAGTGCTCCATCAAACACTCAACGATATTAGTAGAACATCTAAAACATTCAGATGCATTAGACGATAAACGTTCGACACAAAGAATAGCACAATTCGTTGCACGTTTGGCTCTGGTTCGTCCAGACCATTTGTTGTTTGTTACAACTCGTTGTAAAATAAGCAAATCAAACATATGATAATTAAATGGATTCAATAGACTCTTGAATGCTTTGCCGAACTACTTAAGAGGCAATATTATTATCCAATAATATAATTAGAAAATAGTTTATGACGTTAATGATAGAAGAACATGGAAATCTACATGTATGTCTTATGTCTAATAGGAAATCTCTATAGAACTGTCCATTGAAAATCTTGTTGTTTTAATGTTTTCATATTACGTTTAAAGGACTGCTGTAATTGGAGAAAGTTCCTAGCCAATTGGTAGTAATCTATGTTACTTTCTGGTGAATATGTTGGGAGATTGGTGTCATACTTTATGGACATAGTAACGTTTTTTTACAAAACATTGAAATTTCTGGTGCAATCTTATATCATGTTTGGATCAATTGTTTCCTTTGGACAATTAATGAGTCGTGACATTCTACAATTTTTAAAAACTGCTGAAAAAGTGTTAATTCAACTTACTTTTCAGTTTTCTGCGTTTTTTTGCGATGCTCATTTTCTAACGGCTTATTACGATTCCTGGACTAATCGCAATAAAACGTGTATGTACGCGTTAATGAACAAAAAATACAAAATTGAGTCAACTAAATGCAGTAAATTCTTTCTGAACCGTATTGAACATACTTGTAACTTATTTACGGCACTCTAAGGAAACAGTGTGTTTTGTGGTTGAGAAACGCTGATGCATATTGCTCAGGAAAAAGCTAAGGCAACAACAGCCAATGGTTTTGAGGCGAAAACGTAAGAGCACACAGGATTTTACCGTTAAAAGAATCATTAAATTAGTTAGTGCTGCATTCAATGTAGTAATCAGAAATTTTTATCTACCACAAATGTCACTAAATCAACGTCAGTTTTGCAAGCAAATCTTCACACTTGGCTTGGACAAATAACTGGAAACAGTGGCGGATCCAGTGTACCTCAAAATAAATTATAGCTCCTCAATTTGATATTCAAATTACATTCAGAAAAAACTATTGGTTTTGAATTTCTAAAGAATATAATTTTGCCAATGAATTTGCCTCTAAGATATATTGGATAAATGAACTTAACGTTGCGGTTTAACGATAGAATGGATCTATTAGCTGCTTTCGTTGAAAAGAACAGTTTCTCTCACTTCTTTCCACATATCACGTTGACACGTCATGGAAGTGCCAAATATTTTGTATTACTTTATCCCAAAATTTCTTTTAAATAAGATTCAATATGTACTAGTACGAAACCCTATGTAATGTACTTTTTAAAGTTATGGAACAATTATCTTTATAATATTGCCTTATGTTTTCTAACTTGCAGTACATCACATTGTATTTTTATCTCAATTTCAAAAAGTTGCCCGACTAGACGAACGACGGATGTCACTCCCTGCCATACCCTCCCCTTCCCAAGAAGTTTCAACCGTGTAGGACGATTAGATTACAAAATTGTATCTTTGAGTTGTTATATCATTGAAATTATAAGATAATATCTACAGAAACAGGCATGCACATGCAGCCAACAACTTCAACAGTTTTAGAGGACACTAAAGGTTATGCACCAGAGTTTATGAGTTTTAGAGGTTATGCACCCTCTCCGACAACACAGACATGAGACAATAAGGCCTGTCTTATACTTCACATTTTACATGAGTCAAATGCATTCAAAACAAAAGATAATGAGGAATTTCATCTCATTTTCTTTTATCTTTAATGCATTTGGCATGTAAAATCATCATGAAACAATAAAGTCATTAAACAATACATTCATTGAACAATATAGTCATTAAACAATACAGTCATTAAACAATACAGTAATTAAACAATACAGTCATTGAACAATATAGTCATTAAACAATACAGTCATTGAACAATACAGTCATTGAACAATACAGTCATTAAACAATACAGTCATGAAACAATACAGTCATTAAACAACACAGTTATTGAACAATACAGTCATTAAACAATACAGTCATGAAACAATACAGTCATTAAACAATACATTCATTGAACAATATAGTCATTAAACAACACAGTTATTGAACAATACAGTCATTAAACAATACAGTCATGAAACAATACAGTCATTAAACAATACATTCATTGAACAATATAGTCATTAAACAATACAGTCATTAAACAATATAGTTATTAAACAATACAGTCATTAACAATACAGTAATTAAACAATACAGTCATTGAACAATACAGTCATTAAACAATAAAGTCATTGAACAATAAAGTCATTAAACAATACAGTCATGAAACAATACAGTCATTAAACAATACATTCATTGAACAATATAGTCATTAAACAATACAGTCATTGAACAATACAGTCATTAAACAATACATTCATTGAACAATATAGTCATTAAACAATACAGTCATTAAACAATACATTCATTGAACAATATAGTCATTAAACAATACAGTCATGAAACAATACAGTCGTTAAACAACACAGTTATTGAGCAATACAGTCATTAAACAATACAGTCATGAAACAATACAGTCATTAAACAATACATTCATTGAACAATATAGTCATTAAACAATACAGTCATTAAACAATATAGTTATTAAACAATACAGTCATTGAACAATACAGTCATTAAACAATACAGACATTAAACAATATAGTCATTGAACAATACAGTCATTAAACAATACAGTCATTAAACAATACAGTCATTAAACAATACATTCATTGAACAATACAGTCATTAAACAATACAGTCATTAAACAATATAGTCATTGAACAATAAAGTCATTAAACAATACAGTCATTGAACAATACAGTCATTAAACAATACATTCATTGAACAATATAGTCATGAAACAATACAGCTATTGAACAATACAGTCATTGAACAATACATTCATTAAACAATACATTCATTGAACAATATAGTCATTAAACAATACAGTCATGAAACAATAAGTCATTGAACAATAAGTCATTAAACAATACAGTCATTAAACAATACAGTCATTAAACAATACAGTCATTGAACAATATAGTCATGAAACAATACAGTCATTAAACAATACAGTCATTAAACAATACATTCATTGAACAATATAGTCATGAAACAATACAGTCATTAAACAATACAGTCATTAAACAATACAGTCATTAAACAATACAGTCATTGAACAATATAGTTATTAAACAATACAGTCATGAAACAATACAGTTATTGAACAATACAGTAATTAAACAATACAGTCATGAAACATTACAGTCATTAAGCAATACAGTCATTGAACATTACAGTCATTAAACAATACAGTCATTGAACAATAAAGTTATTAAACAATAAAGTCGTTGAACAATACAGTCATTAAACAATACAGTCATTAAACAATACAGTCATTGAACAATACAGTCATTAAACAATACAGTCATGAAACAATACAGTCATTAAACAATACAGTCATTAAACAATACAGTCATGAAACAATACAGTCATTAAACAATACAGTTATTGAACAATACAGTCATTAAACAATACAGTCATTAAACAATACAGTCATTAAACAATACAGTCATTAAACAATACAGTCATTAAACAATACAGTCATGAAACAATACAGTCATTAGATAATAATGTCATCAAACAATATAATCATCAGCCAATAGGGTCATTAAATAATACAGTCATTAGACAATACAGTCATTTAAAAATGCAGTCATTAGACTATGTAATCATTAGACAATACGATCATCAAACAATAAAGTCATAAAAAAATCATCAGAAAATGTCATCAGACAATAAAATCATAAAACAATACAATCATCAGAAAATATAGTAATCAGACAATAATGTAATGAAACATAATAATCATAAGACAATGAGGTCATCGAACATCACAGTTAACAAACAACATAATCAAGAGACAACCCATACTTCAGAGAACACAGACAGTTATTAGACCACAAATCTAATAGAGACACAAACATACAAACTAGAAAGTTATCTGATTAGAAATACCATAAAAAACAAGGCGACTAGAAATGTAATTTAAGAAACAAAAGATTTAATCACTTTGGAGCCAAAACATAAACAAAGTTTGTCCATCTACTGCTGCAGCAACTAGTTTGAGTAAATTTCGTCAGTTGATAAGATAAAATACAAAGCATTAATAGTTATAGTACCTTCTTCATTACATCGAGATGGGACTGCTTTTATCAATAGAGTACAATCTTTTTTCCATTAAAGACCAAAGCCTGTCTCACTTGCCGCCTTTAGTGAGGCTGTATTCATAGAAAGTAAAACCCACTGTTGACCACCAACCACGTCGTGTATTTGCTCTTTATCGTCATGTATTTGCGCTTTAGCGTCGTGTATTTGCTCTTATGGATTGTGCAATATATATCCATATATGGAATACGTACTGTATGTACATATGGAATATTCAGCATAATGAGTATAGGCATTGAGGATAGGCCATTTCCTATGATCGAAGTAGTAGCTTCTAGATTTAATCTCATACGTAAATTTAACGTCACAATGCGCGTTTGAAGCAACATTTGTTATAAAAATGACGACAGGTTTTGAGCAGAATACTTAGGATTAGAATACTTTTGAGCATCATCAATATCTTATAGAACATATTACAAGCAAGCTCAATAACAAAGAATAATATACTTCACAATGCGCGTTTGCAGTAACATTCGTTATAAAAAAGACCGCATATTTTGTAAAAGCCAAATGAACATATAATACAATGTGGGCGCTGTGCTGTATACTTTGTGTTGATTTGTGTTATGAAATTTTATACAAGAAACATATTGTAATTATAGCGATTATTATGTCAAGGCTTTTGCCGCTGACCAGGAAGTTAATAGGCGCGTCCCCGATCATCACCCGGGTTATAGCATTCCCCAGAAAATGGATGCGATACATATATCTGTGGTTGTATATGCCAGAAAATGGATGCGATACATATATCCCTTTGATATTTGAAACATTATGTAGAAACTAGAGTCAACAAAAAACGATGTACGTGTTGTTTGAGTTTGTCGTCAAAAGCAGGTATGTATTCTCCTTCTTTTCTTATTTATTTTTATTATATTAACTTTTTTCTATTTTGACTGTAATCAATTTTTGACTTTTAAGTTAAGCATCTGAATTAAGAAACTACAACCATGCTTTGAGAGTGTATAATGAAAGATGTTTGCAAGCAGAATACAGGAAATGGATAGGCATTATGACCAAGTTGTGCTAAGCTTTAAGTGCTACCCATTCAAGTTTACTTCTTCTAAATACAACACAATCATTGAAGCACTTATGACTGTTTGCCTGTTTCCTTGGAAATTTATTTAATGTTGAGATGGTAAATGTAGCCATTTGTGTGATATTGTGCCAAGAGTTTTGGCATGGACAAACAAAATAGTTGGCAAGGGCAGCAGAAAAGTCCAAATTTAAACACCTGTAATGAAAAAACTGAAAGCATTTGTTGCATCCAAGCCAATCTTCACCATCATTGTCTTTGCATATTTTGCAAACACCAGTATTTCCTCTACAGCAAAACAAACAAAGGAATTTAAAATGAATTTAAGTTTCTCATGCACTATATAATGCATTAAAGACTGGTTAAAACATACTCATGATTGTCATAATAGCAAGAGCTGAATATGGGTGATATTAATTTCTCTTTCTCTAATTCCATTTTAAAATTTCTGTTTAATCTTGAATTTTCACAAATACACCTTGGAAACTGTGGAAAAGAAATTGTTCAAATTGTAGAATACCAAGACAATAACAGAAACAATTCCAGTTCGAGACTGACTTTATTAACGTTAGTAGCAATATTTATTATGTAAGACATTAGGCGTTAACTATGACTAAAGGAAGCATTTTATATAAAATATGTATATATAATATGTAATATGTATATGTACAACGTAATGGAAGGGTGTATTGGACAGGAAGATTATTTAAAGCGTATGTTATTTTTGACAGCTCAAAGAGAACTATTTTACACAGCTGTTTTGAACAGATGTTGCATAAAATTAACCTACATAAATAACCAGCAAAAAATATTTTTATATATTTATATACATTGTGATTTGTGGACATGATTTGCATTGTACAGAAATCTAATGCAATAACTACAAGAAATGACCAATGGATAAATTAATAGAATAAATTGTTAAATGTCTGTGGGAGTGCTCACTTACCAGGCAATTGATTACACCACATTTTAAGCTGTCCTGCTGTGTGAAAATTATTGGTTCCATACATGGCCAATATCAAGAATGCCGACCAGTTTTTATGTCAACAATTTCACTAAAAAATTCATTTGCAGTACTGTAACAATCGAAGGAGAGCTTGAATACTGACAAGTTGTCATGCTAATGCATTTTATGTAAGGATTGTTACGGGCCTTTACGGTGTGACTTAAGAATATTCAGAACGGATTCCAGCTGGATACACCACAAAAAAGCAAGCCATACAAATTTTTGAACTGTTATTTTTTATTAAATGTTGCTTTCGCTGTCTTATAATCACTAATCACTATTATTATTACTGATGCATAAAATCTCTCTAAACTGGCTTTCACAAGTTATATACATAAATATGGAATTTTGAACTATAGCTATAAATTTAAATGTATGAAATTACGATGACGCTAAATGATAACATAAAACATTGTCTTATTAAGAGTGCGTGTTAATTGTATTCTAAGGCAGTCATGAATCCCATCTGGAATCTCGTGATACATCGAATCATAAATAACATAAAAAAATGTAAAAAAAGTTCTTCAATTTTCTTCGCTCGATGCAGCTAAAATCAAATCTGGATATTTTTTGGTATGGTGGTTTAATACAACGAAATGCATATAACATGCATTTACGTAATAAATTGGACGTCATTTAAATTCCTTCTCTTCTGATCAAGAATGGAATTATATGTGCTGAATGACCTTTCAACATCGTATGATCCCAATGTTCCAGTGCAATAGTGGGAGGCAAGCTTGTAAAGTTCTGGAAGTTCATCTGCATGGGATTTCCAAAACAGCTTCAGGTCTACCTTACCTTGTGGACTTTCTGACACAGCAGCAGGTCCGAATATATCAACATACTTATGCCATTCTTCATCGGAGACACTTTCTTTGAATCCAGGAATATTGGTGTATGAACTGTGTAGCTTTGATGAAGAGACTATGTTGCGTGGATCAAGTACTTTGATTTCCTTCAAAAATTCTGATGCTGGTTGTCCTCCATTAACAATATACTTCTCGAGTTTTGCTTCTGCTTGCTTGAAAGCACTTACAAACTTTTTCTTCAAATCATCCTGGTGATCTATCTCCAAATCATAAAACGATTTTGAAAGATCATTAGAATCCACTGTAATATTTTGCCTCAAGTAGTCCAGTAGCTGATTCATTTTTACATAGGACTGAGTAATGTGAGGAATCTTCATTTGAAAGTAATCAAGATATATAAGCAAAGATGGTGCGTTCATCTTAATGAAGTCAAACTGAGCTTTCAGTTTCAATAAGTATGTCTCATCTTCGTATATTTCTCCCAATCTTATCAAAGAATTGGATGGTTGATCCGAGACCTCAAGCTCTGCTGATATGAAGCTCCTAGAGTGCAAAAAACGGTCTGCGTGATATAGCACAGAGTCTAACCAAGCACTCCAGCTTTTTGTTGTTGGGTTAGGAGGCATACAGACAGACTCCTCTTCAGTAGAGACTTTTTTCAAAAAGTTTAGAAACCTACTTTTTCTGCCACTTTGAATGTAAAACAAATTTCTAAAACATTAACAAACTCAGTTATTTCAGAAAAATTTTTCTTGAAGTCTGAAACAACGAGATTAACAATGTGACTATGGCAAGTAATGTGCACACAATTTGGAAAAATAACCGAAAGTGTGGACGAAAATGCTTTCTTCATGTATGCCACGTAATCAGAATTAAAAATGAGCACATTATCAAACGAAATATCATACTCATTTACGACTTTGAGCACTGTCTGGGACACTGTCACATTGTTGGTGCTGGTCAAAAAATGTGTATCCAGTAAATAAGCGCAAGCATTGCCATGAGGAGATAGTTCATCAAAATCAAGAATAACAGCCAGGACATCCATTACATAGCGTCCCTCATCATCGCTCAGCTCATCAGTCAATATAGCGACTTTTTTACCGTTAAATTTTTTCTTCAATTCCTCTTTCTCTACAACATATACATCAAGAAGATACTCATCTCGCAGTTGAGAGGATCCAGGAATAGCACCGCCATTTTTTACCCTTGTGGTCAAAAACTCTCTTAGATATGCGTTATCAGATTTTAATAGCGGAATATTCGCCGCAGTGCATTCATATATCCATTCTTGACAATTCTTGTTTTTCTCTGCCTTTGCATTGTTAGAGAATTTCAGTGCTGTTTTGACATACTGCTGCTTTCCAAAAGAGTTTGCTTTGGCATGACTCTTTGATTTTAGGTGGTCATCGACGGTGGATTTCCTTACATGATCAATTACGACATTGCACTTTGAACAGAACAACAGACCATCATCCAGGCGAAAAGTTCCTGACGGATATTTACTTGCTCGCTGTTTTGCATCTATATTCACAGAAAGGTGTGACTTTGTCTTTGGATGAGGAACTTGGGACAATTTCTGTACAACAAATTTATCCATCCGCAAAGCTTACATTGAATGATCTTCGCTCGTATAAACTGCCGCCATTTTTTCCTCGTATTTAATTTAAATAAACTACGTGAACGGAAGTGAAACGGAACGGAAGTACTTCCATTTTGTTTAAAATTTTACAGACATAGCAACTAGCAAAGGCAACGCCCTAGTGTTGTTTCGCTCCAGACTTCATTTACAACACCATATAATTCGTAAGTTCAGGGAATAATTTTGAAAACAACGTGTAAAAATTAAAATTCCGCGATATTCCGCGAATTTTGATCGATTCTGCGAAATCGCGGCACCGCAGAATTCCAGAATGTCTGTATAAATTAAGAAGGAGGAAGTTATTTGAACCTTTGTAGTATCCTTGGATGTTCTAGTTTGTTTTATGAGATAAACAATAAGATAAAATTCGAAAGCAAGAAAACCCGTTTTCGGGCCATGTTTCCCGAAATATGTTACTTCTTATATCTAAGGCACTAGAACGCCGCATGTTAACGTTTCGGTAGGAGATTTCGGCCACTTCAAGCTATCCTACTTGGGAGATGCCAATAGGAAGCTTCCGCTCATCAGACCTGAGATCATTATATCAATTATAGTTCAAAAAGGCAGAAGTTGTTTGAACCTTTGAAGTATCCTTGGACGTTCTAGTTTTTTTTATGAGAAGAATTCTTGTAAAGAAAAAGACAAATTTTGAAAACCAAAAAATGCCGTTTTCGTTCCATGCCTCCCGATACCCATAGATAGTTGATCACTAGAGAGTCGCATGTTAACTAAGGGAACCACATAATCCTTGTTTGTTTTCCATGAAACATATGGATGGTTTGCTCGTGATGCATGAGAAACAGTAAACGGGAGAGTTAAATCAGAAAGATATAAACCGATAAAATTGATATAAAACTTGTTTAAGGTTGTCTTTATTTATAAGTGTCAGACAGGGTCATAAGAAGTTAATTGAAACATTGCATGGTTTGTTTTATGAGAAGAAAACAAAAAGATAAAATTCGAAAGCAAAAAAACCCGTTTTCGGTCCATGCTTCCCGATACCTTCTTAAGCGCAAGGCACTAGAACGCCGCATGTTAACGTTTCGGTAGGAGATTTCGGCCCCTCCACGCTATCCTACTTGGGAGATGCCAATAGCAAGCTTCCGCCCATCAGACCCTGAGATCACCTGCGATAGGCTTTGCTCAGGGTACGCAGGGAGAATGCGGTCGCCACCGAAGTGAGGGCCCCTAAGCCACTGCATACTATATCGCACCCAGCTTCCACTGCTAGTTGATATCTACTATATGAAGTTTTAGCTTTATATATATATATACCAAAATTTAAAGGCGTACGAAAGTTATGGGATGATTGTTATCGTTACTGCGCATGCCCAGATGATTTCTTTGATAATTTGCGACTAAGTGAGTTAATTGACACAAATGTAGTGCAAGTACATATAGTTGGTCGTTGTCATGACTATGAACAATTACTCGAGTAGACTGCGCATGCTCGAGCGCATGCGCAGACGATTTCTCTATTAAATTGTTACTAAGCATGCTATTTACTTCAAAATTGGTGCTAGTAGATGCAGTTGGTCGTTGCCATGACCATGAACTTGGGTAGCTGGTCAAGTTGACTGCGCATGCTCAATGAGACTGCGCATGCGCAGATGATTTGTCTTAAAACGTGTGACTGAGCGAGCTAATTACTCCAAAATCGGTACTAGTACATCCAGTTGGTCGTTACCATGAGCTTGGAGGGTTTGTGGAGTTGACAACGCATACTCAGACTCTCAATTAATTTGTGACAGAGCGAGCTCTGAAATTGGTGCTTGTAGATGCGCTGAGCAAGTTTTCCATCATATATTTTTGGCATGCTCTTTGTCTACTTAAGCTTGTTTTGACAAATGCATGTGAAACTCGTCAACACTTTGTTACGGCACTCGTAATATCCGTGACAACGTTAAAAATGTTTTTTATTTTTGTCTACAACTTTATACCTGCATATTGCATGTCATATCCAAGCTTTCCTTTAATTTGACGGGAAATGGTTTTTATTCACTCTTACATCTTCTGCCTTTATAATTAGTCGATCTGTATTTCTAAACTAATATTTACAAATGCCCCAAGAGAATCTTTTTATTTTATTGGCTCTTCTACAAATACAATACCATGTCCGACTATTTGATTGCACGAATTTTGTAATTTGATCACGTTTTTTTGACACGTGTGTTTACCATGGGAAAGATGGATTGCTTAAATGTACCTAGTTGTTTAGACTAGTTGGATCCATAGTTATCCTGTAATGTATACTCTTGTGAAACACCAAT